AAAGTTGTAGGAACATAGGGTGAAAAAATTTAGTATATAGGATAAAAGTTTAGAAAATAGGGTGAGAAGTTCTAAGATTATAGATAGAAAAAGTTTAGAACATATGGTGAAAATTTTCAGAAATATATGGAAAATTCAAAGCATAGACAGAAAAATTTTAAGTAATGGATAAAAAAAGTTTAGATGATAGGAAAATAATTTAGAACATATAAAAAGGCATTGGCAGAAAAAAAAATTAAAGTATTAGCAAAAAAACTTTTGAAAAACTAAAGTATTAGCAAAAAACTTATGAACATTTACGGTAAATGAAAAAAAGAAGAACATATGCTAAAAGGCCTAAAACCTATTAGCTCAATTGGTAGAGCACTATGCAAATGCATAGAGGATGTAGGTTCGATTCCTACATAGGTTATCTTTATAAAAAAAAAAAAAAAATCGAAAGTAAACAATAATAACTTAATAGTAAAACATGAAAATAAATCAAATTATTTTTTCAACTTATGTTCTAAATTATTTTTTTTTATGTTCTAAATTTTTTTTGCTTATGTTCTAAATTTTTTTTGTATGTTCTAAATTTTTTCTGCTTATGTTCTAAAAATTTTCCCATATTCTAAATTTTTTTCTATGTTTTAAATGTAAACTTTTCAAAATTACAGAAATGCCATTACTAAAGGATCATTTTAGGTGGTTAGATCAAAACTAATAAAGGGCTGAGATTTGTTCTTATATAAGATTGGGTTCTTATATAGAGGAGGGTTCTTACATGAGCCTTCCTCTATATATATATATATATATATATATATATATATATATATATATATATATATATATATATATATATATATATATATATATATATATTATAAGGAATTTTTCCGATAATAAAGAGCTCAAATTGCCATAACCAATTCTGTATTCTCGATGCACTAAAGGGTGTATCCGTGTATGAAAAGGCATTACTCATTTTTACATCAAAATTGACGAAAAGCAGGACTCATGACACCTCAAATAACCCAGGCCAAAATCCAAAATATTTGACCTAAAACTCCCTTCACTAACCCATTTACACATTAATTCAGATTTTCCATTGTGCCTATTCCACCCAATTCTCTGGCGAAAGGTACAACAAATTATCATTGTTAAAAACTTACACAACGAAATTTCATTGTGCCTCTTCCACCTAATTGTCTGGCGAAAGATATAACAAATTATCATTGTTAAACACTTTTACGATGATTCGAAAGTCAGATAATAATTTTTTATATATATACCTACTTTCGTGTTTGAAGTTAGTTTGCAAAGATGCGATAGATTTGCCCAATGAAATGGAAATTCGACTTTCAAAAGTAGTGAAATTATTATCATTACAAGAATTGACCGAAATTCCTCTACGTACGGAAGATGGAACATACCAACTTGTTTGGAAATTAACCTCAAATCGAAACAAATATGTAGATTACAATCTTTTGACGGTTCTCTTGTTGATGTGATAACATTTGTTTTTGAAAATGTACATGTTTTACATTAACTTTTGTTAGAGGTTAGCATAGAAAATTTTTGCACAAGTCATTGTATTAGGGTTTCAGAAAACAAAGATACAGAAAATTTAAAAAATGATTAAGAGATAAATAAAGGCTAGATAACTAGTAAAAGAAATGGACACATAATACTTTGCACATTATACCACCCAAACTCACTACTATTATTTGTTGTAAAATTTCTCTCCTCTTTTATTCATTACTTTTCAATAAACTATTAACCCTATTATTATTTTTTTACAATTTTACATCTTATTTTGTTTAAGTCAATTAAATTGTCTAAAACGATGTGTCGGTTAAAATGTAACAATTATTAAAACACGAAGGGTGTAGTGAATTAAAGAAATTAAAGAAACTCCATTCATAATATAACTAATTTAGAGAGCAGATACTTGTAAAGAAATTCGGATAGGCCATTGGAGGATGATATTCTCCCAAATGAAGGCTAACACCACTATTTATAGGACACCACTATTTATAGTTGATGTATGTCGGTAGAAGAAGTGTGTGGAAAATTCTACACACATCTCTTTAAACTGCCACATAAATATAGAATCTTCATAATCATTCACCAATTCTAAATTCTTCCACAATTCTTCATAAATATCTCAACGTAGTAGAGTTTTCTAGATGTAATAAGTTGAGCTATGGAATTTGAACCACACTAACCCAACATGTTAATTACTCACTATTCCAAAGGGGCCTTCGACATGCAAGATAATAATTCGTTGACCAAATGCGCATATTATTATGGTACCAAGCTTGGAATCCTAGACTCGTACGCAAGAACATGTGATCCTAAGTTCAATTTGATTCTTTAGTACAATACTAAACTTTTCCTAAGTATCAATTCTTTTATTTCAGACTACAAATTTCAATCAGTCTTTGATTCTAGGTATGATATGATATTAGGTTTTGTTTTTTTTTTTTTTCTTTTTTTGAAAGGAGCAAAGTTATATATTAATAGCAAGAATATCCATCGTTACATATGGGGTTACAGAAGGTGGGACACAAAAATCCCAAGTTTGCTCAACATTAAAAGGAATAAAACTTGTGATAGATAAGGTTGTGTGCCACCGTATTTCCTTCTCTTCTAACATGGCTCCATTGTAGATATTAGTTAGTGTGTCAACAAGTATGATTACTCAGTTTTAGATTGATATTGAGGTTTCTAATAGCTTCTGCTACATGTTTATCTGAAGATTATGTTATAAGCTAAAGCTCGTATCAGTTCCAAACTCATTTGAAGTCAAAGAAAAAGGTTTCTTTTAATAAATAATAATAATAATCTTAAGACAAAGGCAAAGGATCAAAGTGATAATAATCTGTTTGCTACTTCTCTTTATGCAATTATGCCGGCTATACAAATTCTTAAATGGACCTGTTTCACACTAATTTATTGTAAACCACCAACATTAGAGATAACATGATAGTTTTATTAATAAAGAAAAGGTCATTATATTAAAATAAAGGTTATTATGTAAAATAAAAAAGATTAAAAGTCACACAATAATATTATAGTGGACCAAGTCCACGCAAGATTTTTTGTGCTATAGCTATACCTTAAATTACCAGAAATATTTGTTATTTATGGTACAGTCAATGATTTTTTTTTTTTTTTTCAGAATCCACTGAAATGTATATTTCCTGAGTTGATATTTCAATCTTACTCTGATCCCAGTTGAAAAATATAAATTTGAATGTTTGGTTTGACATTTGCTGCTGCTTGTTCAATAGATATTTTATTTTCATAAACAAGTATGCTAGAGAAATACCAATTAAAAGAGGAAAAGTCAAGGAAGAAAACAGAGTTTAACAATTATAAAGGAAAAAAATAATAAAGGTATGCAGAAAAGTCAAGGAAGAAAACAGAGTTTAACAATTAGAGAGAGATAATCATGCTGAGTATTTTGATGAGTGATTAGTTTGTAGTTTTGGGAGAGTGCCCTTCCCCTCGAAAGATTGGCAAAGCTGTAATTGGTGATTACATTGATTAGCATTAATGCATATATATCTCTGATTGTTCTTCCTGTATTTTTGTTCTTCCTCCCTTCGTTCCTGTCCTTAATTTCGATGTTTGGTCACTTATCTGAGCTGACGACTGATAGCATTTTGATATTCCCCAGCAGGGCAAAATAATAATAAGAGTGAAAAGGGTAGCAAATAGCATATGTTTGTTGCAGAAATGCTCCCAGCTGCCTGATGTCAAGGATCCAAGGCGGATTTAATTGAGTTGCCTTTTTGTAATGCTGCTTACTGACTAGATTTACCTGGTTTAAAAGCTTCAAACTTTCAGGAGCTAATTTGATGTTTGGTTCAGGTTTTGTTTGTAAGTGCATGTTTTGATCCATGTTATCCCTTGTTTCATGCTTGTTGCTTCTATACCTTACTTTGCTAGTAAATTTTGCTATTGTTTCTGCACTTTCTACGAACTGGTTAGTGTCCACTAAGGTTTGCACCTCCTGAATCAATATTTCCATATACTCTAATTCTACTTGAAGGAACACGTACAGTACAGATTTAATTGAAGGAACAAATTACAGATATGATTGCTTTAATTATAGTATCAGTAGCTGATATTCACTGAATCACTGGTGCTTGTTCTTTACTGATCACAAAAAAAATATGCTAGGGAATTAATTAATTAAAAGAGGATCATAAAAGTCAAGAGAAAGGTGAATTGCTGAAAAAAATTATGATGAATTCATCTAGGGGAGGGGTTGGCATTGATGAAGTAATATCGAAGCAGAGAGATTAAGAAAGGGTACATATTAGCTTCTGGTTTGGATTGATTTCAATACTTCGTACTCTCGTATTAAGGCATTCTTGTCACAGTTCGTTCCTTTATATGAACAGAACCACAAGGAAAGGCTTTAATATTACAACCTGCATTTGAGTATTTATGTTTTATGACTCTGATCGACGTATCATTTTGCCATTTTGGTTGTGCATTCGACCTAATATAGCCTGAGGATATTATTGAGGGGTTTGCAACACCTAATGCCTAGGCTTCCTTGGTCTACATATGGTTTCTAGCTATTTTGTTTCAGCCAAATACTTATTACACTTTGTGCACTCATTTCGCACAGTCCACATGACTGTTTAATGTGTACAGCTGAGAGCTGATGAAGGAGATCAGAACTATTCTATTAAGTGTATAATATATACAATATCCTATAATCAGTAGCATGTAATTGAAGTAGGTCTTATTGCCAAGTTTCTACCAACCAACATATAAACATGAATAATAATCATGTCATGTTGAGGCACATGACTAGAATTTACTTAAACTGAGCTACTATTAAGTGAAAGGTGATTACATAATAATAACCAAAAAGATATTAAATAGCAAGGTTTAAGGTCGTTGACACCATCGAGCACTTTTGACAAGTGATTCTAAGCATTAAAAAAACTACTGCATACATCAAAAGAGAATGAAATTAGATAAAACTCAGAAGTAATCTAAAGTTTACAAAAATAACGTCTGGTTCTTTCAGGTGTAAGGGTGATTCCGTTTTCCCAATCATCACTTGACGTTTCGAGCCCACGTAAACTAAACACAATCTCACAAGTTGAAGATGCCCTGGCTAGACGGAACAAAGACTCACAAAAATTACACATTCCCCTTAATCGATCGTCTTTTTCACCAATAATACATCTACCACGCACTACATAAAGCTTTTCCAATACAAGTGCATTACGTAGAATGTACTCCAGCAACACGAGCTCATCATCAATAGCATCTAGTCCGTATATGCCTAACATCTTCAACTTACTTAAACACTCTGGTACACACCAATTCCTGGGATCCATTACGGGATTTGTATAACCCATATTAGTTAGGCATACCGAAACATGCCTTAAGTTAGGAAAACATCTCATCGAAAGTAGCAAATCCTTCCAGCCGCCATAATTTAGATTCGTTTCAAGACGTTCTAGATTAGGAAAGGTCCCGAGATTTACAGAGTTAAGGCAATGATATAGGTTTGTATGCTCTTTATGCGCTAGCAGGAGAGAAAGCTCCCTAACACTAGACAATTGCCAAATAAACTTGAACATTTCCTGTCCATCTAAATGCCTCGGATTCCAGTACATGTCAATCGATGCTTTGACTAATTTCGACGGATTCTGAATTGAGTAATAATCTGATGTGAAGCTCACTAGATTAAGGGTCTCCAATTTGGGTGCATCGATGAGGATTTTAGGCTTTTGGTTGTACATATGTTCCAACAATCTTATTTGCAACGACCTCAGATTCGGCGCTGATATATTTAGAACAATCTGGGGTTCGGATTGGGTTATATAGTGATTGAATATCAATTTTGCATCTATCAAACATTGACAAGACCTAAATAGATTCCCCAAAAACTGTTGAGGGACGTCAACCATATAGTTTAAACTAATCTTCTTCAAATTCGGAAGTTGAATATCTGTATTTTCTGGTGAATTAAACTTGATCATACCTCTTAATATCAAAACTACCAGATTTTTGGAAGAAAACAGAAACGAAGGAATAGGAAAGCAAACCTTAGAATAAGGGAGATCCTCTTCAATAATGACCTGCTCCACGTTTCGGCCACAAACTTCACGGAAACATGAATCTGCAACACTAGGGTTACATAAGTTGGACAGAGAACTTAACTTGAGTTTGAAGACATGCAGTGTCTGAGAGGTCAGTTGTCGAACAATGTCGACGACAACGGTAGAGAATTTATTTGAGGCTGGTTTGGAAACGTAATGTACATTGAAAGTGGTGACACCGGTCCAAAGGTAGCGCCATCGATGGGATAAGACGGAGGTGGCAACGGCGGAATTGATTTGGAGACGAGAGAGTATATTGGCCAGAATATCATCCGGAAGAGAACTCAATTTGTCTTCCTTGCTCTTCATTCTCTTGTAGGCTGTAGCAGTAGACATACTGCAGAATTGAGTAGGTTAAGTTGAGGGCTAAGGTGATGGTATTGCACCTGTCAAAAAACAAAGGTGATTGTATGGGTGTTAATACTTGAAAAAATAATCAAGAATTATTCGAGATTAAATTTATAAAATTATTGTTTAAAAAGAATTATAAAATTATTGTTTAAAAAGAATTATAAAATTATAAACGTTCCATATATTATACCATGGTTAACATAATTATAATTATTCATATAAAAATTGATAGAGAAAATCTGTAGATATCATAAAGATATTCACTGTCAAAATATATCCTTAACTTAAAAAGAATGTTTTCTACGGATATCTATAGTTTTTTATATACTAAATTAATTCCATAGTTATCCCTAAGATATAAAGGAGAGTTTTTAATTTTTTTTTTTCAATGGCCATGTAAGCAAAATTAGCGAATGAGATTTAAAAACTGATCGAAATTTGTAGTCTGAAATAAAAGAATAGTATCTATAGGATTTAATTATTATGCATGTTAGTGTGTGTGTCGGTCATCAATCAGTTTGCGTTTGTTGATTGATTTTTATCAATTGTAAGTGTTTACTGTAATTTACTGTACATCGAGTACACTTTTGTCAGATTTAGTGTCACTTTTGTCAAATTTAGTGTCACTTTTGTCAAATTTATCAATGAAGCATAAATAACTTTCACATAACAAGTGAGCGGTGTGATGGCCCGCTATCAGGTATGGTCCATACCAAGGGACGAAAACATTATTAGTTATAAAATCAATAATAAAAAAAAAAGTATAAAATTAATAATAACAGTATAAACAAAACAAAAAAAAAGTACTTGGTATGGACCGTATCAGATATTGGCCTATACTTACTCATCAGGAGACATGCAAAATGATCGCCAACACAAAATATACACCTATTATTCGCTAGTCACAAATGTGATATTAACAATGAGGAGATCAAAATAATACAATAGTAATTGACAAAACAGAGAAATTATTCTGTTGCACAGCAGAGTATCATATATAAGGATGCAATAACCAACATTACTAGAAGCAGCAGTAAAGTTTAAATACAGATGTTTTGAACTAGAGGAGAAAGAAATGGATTGAACGGAAGTAAACCAAAGCAAGACAGTAAAGATTGTCTGACAGATTTTTTTTACAACATAACCCTAATAAATAACTAGAGCAACAAAAGAGTAGCCTTGTGAATAATATCAGAGATCATGCTTGGGACAACAGTAAAGGTAATAACATCAGATACACATTTTAGTATTTTACCAAAAGAGAGGTTCTGAAAGGCGGAAAGGGTCCAAAAAAAGAAAGGAAACATCCCTTAAGAGTAAATGACTCGAATAATAATTGGCTCCTACATAATAACAAGTGAATTTTCATTAATAACACATAAAAGCACCAAATATTAAAGTGAAGGTTTCAAGGGCCTGAAAGACCATTCCAAATGTGAATCCAAAGCATAAGGCGATGTATAGATAGATGTACCGTTAAAGAAATGAAGTTAGTAAGAATCAATATCAGGAGTAAATCCTAAATAAAAAGCAATAACAAAGAGAGAAAAAGGGGCTGAAATGACTTGCAGCAAAGCAACCAACAATGCAAGACTAACTTCAACACAGATGCACAAACGTTTTAGAAAAGAATAACAGATCATCAACTCCAACTACATAGCTATCACTAGCCAATATTAAGGAGTTTGCAAAATTCAGGGGCAGTTTTTAGTAAGCAGAACAGCAGCTAATGCAATCTGAACAGAAACGGATTTATTGAATCATACAAGTTTCGTACATTGCATTGTGATTGCTGTTTACAAGCTTTGCACATCATCAGTCAATTATTGATTTTTCACAGTTCTTACAGTTCTTCAAGCTCAGAGGAGAAACCCTTTTAACACTACTACACAAAGTGTCAAGAACTGTACAAATTTCACACTGTAAAAAAGGACTGACAGTGTAAAATTTGTAAGGAATGAGCTAACAAATGCTCAAGAAAGACACATCTTTGCGGACAACATATCTCACTAGCTTAGTGTTATGCCTTCAGAGATCAAAACCAACAATTTGAAATGGAAAACTACTTTGTAACACTCACTTATCAATCAATTGTATAGTGGCATTTGTAGTTTTAACTGAGCCTGAACCACTGAATCAGATTATTGTTTTGTCCTGTTTGTTGATCATATATACTTTGAGCAAGATGCTAGCATAAATTTCTGGACTGATACAAAGTCATGACCTTATAAAAGACTACGAGTAAATAGCAAGTTAGCAACTATGTACTAAGTCAAGCATTGTCTGTTGGTACATCGCACAAAATAAATACCAGGAAAAGCGACCTAAGAAGATTAATTACCTCAAAAGTAACATTAAATCCAATATCATGTATATTTGGCTCTTAAGAGCATATGCATGAGAAGCTTATTTAAAAATCTCAGAATCTTTATGCTACACAAACTTCTTCCCATTTCCTTGGCTCTTTCTAAAGGAGCTAAGATTAAGATTAACCCCAAGAGCAAATTACTCCTTGGACTCTTTCTAAAAGGAGCTAACCCCAGAGAAAATTACTCTTTCGGCTCTTTTCTAAAAGATGCTAGAACTAACCCCAGAGAAAATTACTTAGTTGGCTCTTTCTAAAGGAGCTATGATTAACCCCAAAGCAAATCACTTACCATTGTAATAATCATAGGATTGTCTTTTTCTTGGATATAAGGTCAAATAACTATATGCAAAAAACCATGTGACTGAAAAAAACTGATTATTGCTAAAGAGAATTTCATTGAAAAAAAATAGTTATTACCAGTAGAGAAGACTTGATGTCTGATGAAGACTTCCAAACACAAGACCAGAACCTGAACACAGAGATTAGCGAAGGGCATTTGCTTTATACAGGTCGTAAATACCAAGTTAAGCAGCAAAGGATATTTTTAACAAAACACGAACACAGGCATAATTAGCAACATTTCAATATTTATCTACTTATGATTTTCAATGCCCCGTGCCTGAGGGAGAAATGCTATCTTGATCTGTATGTTAAGCTAGCTGTATGGTAAATTGGTAAGACTTAAAACTGAGATAGAGACACAAATGTACCAGTGTTTAAGGATTTTTATGCCAAAAACCTAACATACACCAAAATTAGCCTTTTAAAGGATGTAAATCATGAGAAACTTCATTCTACACTCTTGATTGACAGGTTTAGACAAAATAAATAAATCCTCTCAAACATCTATTTAAATACCCAGTTCAATTAAATGACCAAACCTGTGTTCATTTTCACCAAAATTAATATGCTTTGTGCCTGATAGTTTTGACAATTTATCACTAGAATTTAACATAAATTAATGATACACAACAGCAAAAAAGAGAAAATAAATCATTCATGAAATTATTTTGTCAATAACAGGTTGGATATGAATACATATCAAAAGCATAAAACTAGTACATCAGGAGGGAATTGAATAGTCCAATACACACCAGCCCCAATGCTCATCTTAGAGATCGCGTCTCATTCTCACCTCCATCCTTTAAATAGGAAGCACATTGTAGATAAGTTAGCACTTAGGCACATATCAGTCAGTACCCTCTATTTTAAATTTCTTCAAAGTTGGCTTTTGGAGAGTAGCAAGAAAATAAATTGTCAACCAGCAACCTATGCCATTTGACATTAAGCTTTCTGTTTTCCGAAACATTACTTGATAATGTAACACAATTACCCGAAAACACAACCTCACAAGTCAATGAGCTCTTAGGAAGCTTATACAAGTACCTACCAAACTTAAGTTCTGCTTCTTTAGAATATTCTTTGACACAATCTTTTAAGTACAGCTCTTTCAAAACTTTTGCATTAGCTAGAATGTACCTTAGCAACTCCAACCCACCATCATTCTCTTCCAGTCCCGTTATCCAGTCCCGTTACCATTGAGGCAGATAAGTAAGATGATTTAACGAAAGCTTCTTCAAATTCGGAAGTTGAATATCAACAGCTTTACTAGAATCATATCCAAAGGGACCATACAAATCCAATACCACCAAAGATTGACAATTAAGCAAACAATCTGGTAACGGAAAGACTATACCATAATCTAGGTTACTGAAAATGAATTGTTGTACATTGCGACAGCAAATATCATGAATGAGTGATTCTAATGCATGGTCACATACAAACCACTCGAATGTCCATGCAACCTCAACTTTGAATACATCAAGTTTTGGGGAAGTCAGTTGCAGCAGGATGTTGCTGAGGAAGTCGGTGAGGTTTCGTGTTTTAGCTATATGATGATGACCTTCACCTCGGTATGGTAATAATAATGGTTTAGTGCGGAATTTAAAGCGAGTGAGTCTGGTCCAGAGGTGGTGGCTGCAGAATTGATTGGAAGGCGAGAGAGGATTTCATCTAGAAATGAGCTCAATCGATCTAGGCCTTCGCCCTCGGGGATGTGGTCTGCCAACTCCATTGGCAATATCACTCTCTTTGGGTTTCTACAAAGATATTCAGTTTCAGCAAACGAATATGGAGGGGATTATTAGTTTATGATCCGTAAAATATGCTAGGATAAATTTTCAACAACTATTAAGATATTTTAGGGTTTTATATTTTTTATATCACAAGTACTATATGTACAAAATTTTCAAAATGCAGAAAAGATTAATATATAATATGTAAATTAAAAGAAGACAAAAATAACCTCTTCTAAATCAATACTATCTTTTTTGGTTATTATAATCAATACCGTAGATTCTTTCTTAATACCGTAGATTATAATCAATACCGTAGATTCCCCCCTTCTCTTAATGTCTACTGTAGATTCTTCGGTTGACTTCACAAATTGTTGTTATATACTTGTATTTCATAATAAGGTAGTTTACTTTTCATATATATGTCTAGTTTGTGGGAAAAAAAAAAAATTGTCTTTTAAGTTAGGGAAATTTTCAATGGTACTCTTAAGATTTTTTTTTTTCTCAATGGTAAACACTAAAAAAACAAATTATCAATGGTA